CCCTCTTCTTAAAAATGGGAACCATGACCTCAGTCTGCCAATCCAGAGGCACTGCCCCAGATCTCCATGTGATATCACAAAGGGGTATCAACCAAGAAAACCCTAAAACATCCATCCTTTATGAAATCTTTTGAGTGAGCCTTATCCACCCAAGGGGTTCTGCCGATTTCAGTGACCTCACCTCCAGTGATGGGCAAATCACCCACCTCATCTCCAGACTCCGCCTATGCTACAGAAGAATTGAGGAGATCCTCAAAGTATCCCTTTGACCTTCCTGAGTTGAAGTTAACAGCACCCTGCACACATTATATACTGTGTGATTAGAAAACTGTATTCCCCTTCGGAATAACCTGATAATTTCTCTGAATTGCTTGGAGACCAGGGGAACATGCTGCTGTGGTGGTTAGCACTGTTGCCTCACACAAAGAAGGCCCTAGTTTTAAATCTATCATCTTGCTGGGCTTTTCTGTTTCCTCTTGGTACTCTGATTTCATCATATGGGCGTAGGTTAATTGGTGATTCTAAATATGCCATAGGTGTGAATGTGAGTGAAAATGGTCTGTCTCTCTGCGTTAGCCCTGTGACAGACTAGCGACCTGTCCAGGGTGTACCCTGCCTTTCACCCTATGGCATCTGCGATAGGCTCCAGCCCCCCACCAACTCTGAATTTGATAAGTAAAAGAGAATGGATGGATGGGTGCTTCAAGATTGACCGAAAGTCTTGTTCCATGGCCTCACTGAACCCCTACTATTTTTGAGCTTGTGATTCGGCTACTGTAAGAGCTGCACACTGCTTGGTTGAATATCTTTTTGTTGAGTACCACACCAAAGACTCATTTAGCTTGACGGCTACCTTCACTTCTGTTGTCTGCCTACTGGTTTGACAATTACTACGCGGGCGCCAGCAAGAATGTCTGCAGCCTTTCACTGACGGAAAATTCAGACTAGAACAAAGTCCAGCCCCTCCTCTAGGAGACTGGTTCTAAAACCCATGCTGTGTGTTGAGGTAAATCCAACTCTTAACCTCACACACTACCTAAGACTCCTTCCTTCTCAGCTGGGGATTGTATTGCCAAAGTTTGACCCTCAATGGCTGCAACCAAACACTGCACCCAACCCTCCTCCTGCAGGTGGTGAGCCCATATCATGTAAAACCAAAATATTGAATCATTTTTTCATTCATAAAAATATATTTTTTCTGCTAAGTTTAATTCACTGTCAAATTAGCATTTTTCAGTATATACAAACACTAACTTCTACTTCAGAATCTGATAGTGAGGAGTGCTTTAACCCCAATACATCAGTAGTCCTAAAAATTGGAACAATGATTCAGGGAATGGTCTGGAGTAAAGAGATTAGAAAAATGAGAATACATGCCTTAAAAATTTGGGGAAATAAAATAAGCTCATGGGGAAAATTATAGAGGAAGTGACATCAGGACCTTTATCACATGTTCTTAATTTAAGAAATTTTATTTTGCTTTAGAGATATTTGTTGGGCAACAAGATGTTAAGAGAACGGTCAGTCAGGCTCCAGCATCCACGATGCTGTAGTTCAACATATTCAGCACAGGAAGTCTTGAACTGAGCTGAATTGGATAAAGAGAGCTGGAGGAGATGGAAAGGAATCGGCCCTGAATTCCTGTTGCCATGACAACAACGGCGACACCGCTGCTATGGTGACACCACACACACATAATGATGCAAGCGTGCTGATCGAAAAGAAGGTTCAGGGCAGTATGATAAAGCGTCTCCACTTTTTTGTTCTATTATGTTCTTGCTCTTATGTACCTCATTTTCAGCTTCTTTCCTCTCTGTTTCCTCTCCTCACCCTTCTCTCTCCTACAGCTGTCCTTGAAATTCATCATTTAGGGGGACAGAAACTGCTAATTCTTGCATTTCAGCTTCAAGGAGTGATGCTAATGTGGGCAAAATATCTTGTTGATGGCAGAAGTCAAACAATGATGACTAGAATGTTAACAGTGATTCAGGTACAAGGGACGCTAAAGATGGACTACTGTAGAAGAACAACACACTTGGCCAAGAAGAAGATACTGAGGGCAGTGGCTCATCAAAACTGGATAATTTGGTGTAAATGATATGAATGCAGGGAATCCTCCCCACCTTTATTCATTCTGACCGCTGCTGCTGCTGTAATGGTGCGCCGATATTGTTTTGACACAGTCTGAGTCACTCTATAGACTGAGGCTCATGTTAACAGCAGCGCCTGAGCGCATGACCATGTCCATATCAGAGTGTTTTTCTGGGAATGACAGTAACTTCTCTGTACTCCCATAGCCTCCACCATAGGTGGAAATTTCAGAGTAAAATCAGGGGGACACCACTTTCCAGTATTTTTAGTAACTGTATTGGTCCCAAGCATAGAGCTTATTTAGAAAAAATAAAAACTAACATTGCTTACCAAGGTAATAGTGCCGCTGTGTGACTTTATTTTCACTCCCCAAATGTAAATATGGATAATGAGTTCATACCATTGCCAAATCCTTACTGTCACTGCTACTCAAAATCTAGTGCACAAAAAACACACAAATATGGTAAATGGCCTGCATTTGTATAGCGCTTTTCTAGTCCTTAAGGACCCCAAAGCGCTTCACACTACATTCAGTCATTCACACACTGGTGATGGCAGCTACATTGTAGCCACAGCTGCCCTGGGGCGCACTGACAGAGGCGAGGCTGCCGGACACAGGCACCACCGGGCCCTCTGACCACCACCAGTAGGCAAATATGGGGTTAGTATCTTGCCCAAGGATATTTGGCATGCAGCCAGGAGGCAGCCTGGGATCGAACCACCGACCTTCTGATTAGTGGCTGACCTGCTCTGCCACCTGAGCTACAGCCACCCGATATACAGTGTCTGTCCTTCTCTGATATTTGCTCACACAGACAAGTTTCTGATCATGAAGGAGCCAGAAAGAAAAGGCAGAAAAATAGCTGTAGCTGCAGTGACACACTAAGTGTAGGTTACTCCAATAAAACTTCCATGTCGTACATCAAATATTCAGTTTTCTGACTACCAGACAGATCCAAGAGTAGAAGAGAATGAATACTACAAGGTGTATGGTACTCGTGGGGAATTCTTATACATATGCTGAATTTATAATTTATAAGGAGAAAGAAAGAAAACAATGACTTCCTAACGACATAACTGGAAAAAAAATGGATGCTTTCAATCACATTTCAGTGCTGTGGTATCTTAAAAAAATGTGATTTTTGTCTGGCCACATATATGGAGCAATAGAAGTGACGTATGTAAAAAAAAAAAAAATAGAAGTTTGATATAAATCTTTGTTTTCATGTATGTTGTGGTGTGTATGTCTTCTTCTACCGTGGAAGAGTGTTTGTGTGTTTTTGTGGTCGATAACAATCTCAGTGGTGTTCTACACTTGGTCAATGTGTTGCTCCTTTCAGCAGTGCCTCATCGATCTTCAGCATAACAGCGAACTGCACCTTTAACTTCCTGTGGTTACACTCGGCTGCGTTTGTGCGTTTGCTCACATACACCTGTCTATGTGGGGACTAGTTTGAGCAATTAATCTTCTGTTTGTGTTTTTAAAGTGACAACTCCATGTAGAGTCGAGGCTTGAAGTCTTACTGATTTTAACACCTTTTAGCACTTTGGCAACTCCAACACTTTTAGCGATTTAAGTGAAACATCTGAAACTTCTCCTGCAGTGTTATCGTCTTCTGTATCCAGTGAGTATGAGACAGATAGTCCCTGGGCGCAGACCTGTGAATTGCCCCCCACCCACCAGAGAGGAACCAAAGACTGAAATAGAAAGAACAGCTACAGATTCTAGAGTTGGGTTTCATATCTATTCCACTTTGTTGTGTGTTTCTCTGTGGTTACTTTGCATCTCTTACTCATACCTTTGTGCCCCTAGTCTCTCGTTGCTTTGGTTTTTCTTATAATTTTGTTTATTTGGTATTTCTTTGATTTGGTTTCCATCTCATAAACCTTTTTATTTATTTTATTATTAATTATTATTCTTATTATTTTTTTCAATTTCATGGCCTGCATGGTTTCCAGCAGAACTGGTAGCAGTACAGTTAGTGGGAATAGCACTTTAATGCAGTACAGTTGGAGTTTGATCTGACAATGGAAACAGCCGAATGCCATCCATCACTACCTCAACGTCACATGATATGTAAAAGAGACGATAGTTAGCAGAAACTAAACTTTCAAAATAAAAGTAACATTGTTGTCCAGTAATAGATGATGTTGATATAATATAATATATGCAGCTTTAATACAGATTTTGTATTCCTGAAATGGAAGCATGTCAAAAATGTAGCAGTTTGAATTAAAAGTAGTAGATCAAATTTACTGTCACATAGTAGGAGGACTATCAGGCTGCTGTTTGTTATTATATCATCATAACACAATTAGGAACATGAATATCTTTGATAGAGTTCTGTCTCTGCAAATTTACAACATCATTGTATTTGTGTTAATTTATTTGGTGAGATCGGTCTGTCCATCTCCTTCTGATGATAATCTCAGTCTATTAATAATTTGTTGATAGAGATCAAAGCTTTTCTCTTTCTCTGCGTCACTACTCTTCATTTTTTTTGTCTCTTTTCATCAGCTCTCTCAAATTTGAATTTACTTTGACGTGATCGCAGTAGAAAGACAGGCTCATGCTATTTTAAAAGTCTGTGTGTAAAATGTTTTTTCAGAGCAGTCAACTGATGACATTGTCCTGATTCACAGCTTTGTGCAGGAACCGGTTGTGCACAGATAAAAAGCTGACCATAAGGAGAAAATAACAGAAAACTGTTATAAAGAGAAAAAGTGGACATACTAGACCAAATGCAGATATGCAATGACTACAAAGTTACTCAAAACTATGATAAAGAATGGTTATACAATCAACAAATCCCCATATTAGCAATTATAAAAAAGCATAGTTACAACTAACATAACTTTTTTTGAAATACAGATTTTGCTGAGATAATATGCCTTTCTGTCTCTGTTAGTTACCAGAGTGCGGCTTCTATGGGATGTACGAGAAGATCCTCCTATTCCGTCATGATCCTACATCAGACAACGTGCTGCAGCTACTGCGCTCTGCTTCTCAGATCCAGGAGGGTGACTTGGTGGAAGCCATACTGTCAGGTAAAAGCAAGGAGGGGTACCCATGTCAGACCGTTGATGCTCTGTACTTGTTTCCTTCGTAGCTTTAGTTTTTCTCCAGCCTTAAAGTCTTCTGTTATTGTTCCAGAAAACATGTTTTTTATCATTATAAAATTATAAGTGTGAAGGAGCTTAAGAGTCATGTGAGCACGGTAACAATGAGCTTAGGACAGACAGATAAATGACTGTACCCCTGGGAATTTTGTCCCATGTTACAGTCACTCAGTATTATATGATGGCAATATTTAGGTCATGAGGTAAGGAACAAGATCACTGGCTGTTTTCTGAGCACATCCAACTAGAAGCTTATGGCCCAAACCTTGAAGGGTTACCACAAATCAACACAAATTTTAATCAGCTTTATGCTATAATGAAATGTTTCTAGAATTTATGTAACACAGTGCTTCTACCATCACACCAGAGTTGGAGAATCAAATCGAATTCAGCCATGTCCACACTAGCCCGGATAAATTTTAAAACAGGGTTTTCGTCTCCACATTATGGTTTTAGTCAATTTTACAGAGTTCACATTGAAACAGCCGAAAACGCTTACATTCCAGTACTGCGCATGCGTGAAGAGCAAGACGATTCGACCTGCCTCATTTCTGTCTGCTGTTTATTTACTTTCTGGCTCTTTGAAACGTCGTTGCAAAACTTTGAGGAAAAGCACAGAGTGTTTTAAATGGACTAAGAACGAGGTGGAGTTGTTGCTGCGAGTAACACAAAAGTACAAAGTTGCAAAAGCGAGTGAGATTAAATAATTTGAAGAAAAGCTATCTGGCGCATGTACAGACTGATATTAATCTTTAATAGAGCTGTCAAAATTGAGAGCAAACAAACCAACTGCTGTGTAATGCCCTCCGCTATCTTAGTTTAATTGGTCACATGATTGCATCACATGACTAAAATGCGTCATCGTTTTCGAAAAGGCTCCGGGGTTGCTGTCCACACTGCAACACGAAAACGGCGTTTTCAAATGTATCCGCTTTGGAGAGCGTTTTCAATGCACTGCATTTCCCTTGACCAAAAACGCCGTCTGTGTGGACGGAAGGCCAAAACGTAGAGAAAAAGATGCGTTTTCAAACGAAAACATATTAGTGTGGACATGCCCTCTTTATTTATATACTACAGAAGAAGCTCCAACAATCAGACAACCAATTCTGAGCAAGCACTTGGTGACAGTGGGAAGGAAAAACTCCCCTTTAACAAGAAGAAACCTCTGACACAACCAGAGAGGGGCATATGTATTGTACTATGTCTCCAAAATAATCTATCACACACACACAGACACACACACACACACACACACATTTGCCTTATTAAAAACAACAACAGCAAAAAATAAAAAATAAAAACATCATGTTTTTTAATCACACATATGTGTGATTAAAAAAAATGCAAGCTCCATGTTCATTGGACAACAGCATGTACTGTTAGTGTAATCTGGTTGCCTGAAATGAATTAAAAAATGTCCAGATGTGTGTAATGATGAACTCATTTTGGAGAACTCTTTATTAGGCTTGTCTTTCTGGCTGCCATCCAGCTCAGGACTCAGGTGTTCACACGATGCTATGCTAATGGCCCGACAGTTGCATTGTTCTAATTTCCTGCCTTTCTTTCACCATCAACTGTAGTATGTGTGAACATTTGCATATCGTTTGTCTACATTTGTGTGTGTTTGCTTTAATTAATATGTTTACATTTTTCTCTTTGTCTACAATTTCAGCTTCTCTTTAACATTTGAATAAATTTTAATGGTGATAACAAATTATATATTGTGTACTATTATTACTCTGTACTTAGCATACTATATGTGCACAAACTTTTGAAGATAAAAAACCCCAAAAAGCCAAAGAAGTGCAAAACAGGTGTTAGCAACATTGTTAAAAGTAATAGAGGAAATGTATGCACTGAAAAAATGGCATCCAAAGTTAAACAAGACAAACATAGAGAAAGTAACAGAAAGAAAAGGAATGAAAAAAAATCCATGACTGGCACCACAATCTGTTAACAGTTGGGAGCAGGTTCAAATGGTTTTTGGTTATCAAGGAAAGATTGGCGACCAGCTCCCTACTGGAAGTGTTTTCCCCCTTTCCCATTTTTCATCCATGGTTGTAATTTATCTTGAAGGAACGTCTATAAAAAATGTAATAAGTAATTAAATATGCTCTCCACTGTCACATAGGTTTTTTTTTTCTTATATTATCAATCAAAGTCAGAAAATGCTGGTTTTTAGGTGGGAGTCCGCATGTTATTGCTCCTGGGTACATTCTCGGGAACCGGTTGTGCACAGATAAAAAGCTGACCATAAGGAGAAAATAACAGAAAACTGTTATAAAGAGAAAAAGTGGACATACTAGACCAAATGCA